AGTTTGAGCCACTAGCAACCACAGCGGTAGCATGCTTGCATTGATTGTACTTTGAAGCAAGAAGTAAAAGCATAGATATGCAAGCAGAAAACAAGCAGGTAGTGCCCCAGCCGCAGTGCTCCGCAGCCACGGCGCCGTGAGAGCCAGTCGGCGTGCACCCTCTAAGGAGCGCAGCCACCATGCAAGCCGGAAAAATGAGGCCTCGCAACCTAGCTCCACCATGAATATGAAGAAAACCACTTTAATCCATAGCCTGAAGGCTGCTGCTGCTGCCAAGTTGAACTGCATACGCAAAGTCAACCATGCTTTCACCAAACTGAGCATCAATATCATAAGTGCATTTAATATACTCAATGCGCTGTGGCGGTGGCAGAATGTTCCAGGCCTCTTGCCATACCAGCAGTGTGGAGCGCAGATGCCATCGGCAAGCAAAGTAGTTATGCACAGTGCAGCGGGCCGAAATGGACAGTGGCCGCGTGACGTCATGCAGTAGCTGCATCGCCAGCTGATAAATATGAAACCGCAGAGCATCCTCCCAAACCCACCATCTTGAAAACCGGGGCACCTTGTTGCCCTCGTGCATCGAGCACAGATGCATGGCATTAGCAGCAGAGGAAGTGTCCATGCTTGCATGCGGGGCAAGGCCCGTTCGCCCAAGCAAGCCCGAAGAAAGCCCACACCCAACCCCGAAGAAACAACAAACACCAACGAAGCCCAGCGAGCCCCGACACGCCGACAGCCTTTGAGCCGAGAGCTTAATACAAAGCTGCATACATGAATATAATACATATGTTATTATTATGTTATGTATCTTGCGCCCGCCCTTGCGCGAGCTTGCGCGCGCACGCGAGGGTTATTTACCACCATGCAAAACCCTAATGCCGGCCCTACTCTTACCACAAGAGGCGGGGCTTAAGAACGGCATCAGATCCGCCGCTGCTGACTTCCATACAACTTTTCCGAAACTGCATTTCCGAACTGTCTCAAGGCCAGGCAAAGACTCCCCGCGCGCCCAACCTCGTCAACGAAGCCCTGTCCATCCCATCTAGCTGCTGCCAGGATGCAGTTGATGAGACCGTTGTCGTGGCTGTCACCTAGAGGCGTTCACATAGCATCTGCAGCCATACTGTTAAATCGGTATTTCCGAAACTTTCTCAAGGCCAGGCAAAGAGCCCCGCGGGGCAAACCTCGGCAACGAAGCCCTGCCCATCCTATCCAGCTGCGGCGGAGATGCGGTTGCTGAGGTTGAAGTGGCTGACCTTGGCACGGGTGTCTCGCCCGGCACAGCTCAGGCAGAAACAGCTTGCAGCCGCAGCGAACCAGAGTACAATGCAGATCCGGCAAATGAGGCCACAACGTTGAGGAACCTTGGCAACAGTCAGATACTCAAATGACTCAAGGCAAGCTGCGATTTTTAAAGCTGCACAGCGCTCGCAAGATCATGCAGACTTGCTAGTGGTCTGATTTGACTAAAAGCACCATCGCGCTAGCTCACGTCTGTCTGCAGAAGAAGGGCTTGTAGAGGACAAGGTGAAAGTTGTCGTCTGCGAGGACCTGTCGAGCCAGACTCCAGCAGCGGCATTCCCGGTATTTACATCCGACTACTTCCCAACATCTCTAGGCTGTCTAGGTTTCAGCAGGTTTTGGCAAATCAGTTCCATCTCGTCTGGCACGTGCTTCACAAGACACTCAAGGCATCTCAGGATCGTCCGGCAGCTGCTCAGTGAGGCCCAGACGAGGTGGTGCCTGCTCAGCAGCAAGCCAGGCAACAAGCTCCTACCCGGCCTTTTCCGACCGTGGGACAAACCGGGAACAGTGATGTCTCTTGACTGCTGACCCCTCAGCGTCCCATCAGCTTTGGTTGAAACTTCGGTCGCACGGCCTGGACCTGTCTCTTCGACGAAAGAACCTCAAACTCCAACAGTCTGGGCAGCACCTCACAAGATCAAAGATTGGACCACCTTTGCACAGAATGCAAGCAGGCGGCCAGGGCTGAAAATAGCGTTCTGCGGAAACTTCTCCTGGGATCATCCGGCTCGTGAAGAAACGCATGCCTAGACTTCACCCTGCGCACGCGTAGCGCGAAAGAGTTAGAGCATCCGCCTCACATGAGGCGGTTGACTTCTCACGTGCTTCCACTAAGTGCAAAACATCCAAACAAAACGGAGTGTCCCACATCTCGCCACCGGATCGCATGATAGCATCCATGCTCGAGTCGTACAGCACCTCAGCAACCATTTTGCTCAACCTTTGGAGGGCAGAACGCACATCCGGAACCTGCTCGGCTGCGTCTAGGCTTATCGCAGGACCGGGGACATCTGTCCGAACCTACTCGCTGCAAGGTCGACCAGCATGGTCGTCCAGAACTTCGAGAACGTGGTCTCAACCAGAGATTCGACGCCATCCACTGACACCACAGCCAAGGTGCCCAGGCTATGTTCGTGCCATTGGTGTCACCTGCTAGGGATCATGGCATGCAGGTGCCTTTTGCTGCCACGCAAAAGCATGTGCTAAAGCAAAGCCCCGATCTGGGACGCCATGCACATGCCCAAATCAACCAAGAGAGCGCCGTTACACAGCCGGGCCTCTTGGGCTCACACTCAGGCTCCTCAAGTCCAGGCAGGTGGGCCGAACCAAGTGGCGCACTGGAGACGGAAACACGATCGCTCTCTCCAGGCTGATGTTAACTGAGAGGCAATATGGCAGTGGGTTCCACGTAGAATTCCTCGAACTTCGCCCTCTCCGAATGACCTCCTCCAGCTCTCAGTGTCACTCCTCAGGGCATCAAACATCCGGTCAGACCAAACGTCTGGAAGCCCTGTGCTGAATCCCCGCCGCCGAGCCTACCGCCATGAATGGCTGCTTTGAAGGATACCTGCACGGGTGCCGTCCGTCTCTTCTCCGGACTGTGAAGCACAAGCTGAATTGAGCAGTCCACTCCTAAGCGATTCCGATCCCATCGCCACCGAGGAGCAGCTGATGCCACGAAGAGTATGCGATGCCGTGGTCGTCGATGATGTCCTCAGGCTGGGACGGCACCCCGCAGCTGCTTTCTGCACTCTTGTGACTGTCTTTGTAAAGGCTGCTTTTGTGAATCGTTTTTACAAACACACGTTTGTTGAAAAGCCATTCACAAGCAGCCAACGTCGCCTTTGCTATGCAGGCATTTGGCCACCAGGCAATACCCGGGGACGGTTGAAGGATTGATGCCGAAACCGGCACTCGTGAAGCCCCTGTGACAATCCTCTCTGGTGAAGTAGCGTCCTCGGCCCCTATCGGCCACAGCAGTCCACCCCGGCAAGGCGGCCAAGACACCCACCAGCGCCCGTCGCTGCCGGAGCTGTTGCCTCCCGGGCAGAGAGGAGAGCAGCTTTCCTGTTCTCGGTGCTTCTGCCGGGGTCAGCATGCAACTATGTGCAGGAGCCTGGCGTCACGGTCAGATACCTTGCATCTCAACACAGGAAACAACGTCATGACGGCAAGCTCATCTGATGATGGCTACGTTGCGGGTAGAAAACTGTTCGGACGCACACGGATGCAACCTGGAGGTCCGAGGTGCAAAGTTTCACCGGCAATACCCTGGAACTCCTGGGAAACCATGTCTTCCTGCCATGTGACGTTGAGCAACACCTCACCTGGCAAGAAAGGTAGCATGTCAAACAATCTCTTCTCTCATGCATTGAAATGAAGAAGATGCCCAGTGTCGTTCAGTGTCTGAAACACCACGACACCGAGGAGAACAGGCACGCACAAGAAGCGCTTCAATTCACTAAGGCCACGACCGCTCTCACGCTCAATAAGAAAGTTCTCACCCACCCAGCCTCGGCAGCACATGCTGGTTTTACTAGCTAGCGTGCATCACATTGACATCTGAACATCGACAGCCAGCTGGAACGAGAATGACGGGGCAGTGAGCACTACTGCCTGCAGCCAACAAGCTGCCGAAGGGACCAGGAGACATATGCATCGACACCGGCGATCTTCCTCAGAGGCAAACATCATCAAACATCCGTCTCGAAACGCCGCGGCAGGTGTAACTAACTAATCCAAGCCATGCCGAGCATCCGTCGATCATGCTCAACGCCCAAACATAATCTCTCCAGCTGGCATCGTCGTAGCCGTACATAACGAACGTGACTATCCTTCGAGCTGCTGTCTTTGGTGTATGAAAACAAGGGGCCTTGTCAAGCTTGGCGCTGCCCTCGCGAACGCCATGATATCCGCAGCGTCTGCAAATATGCAAACAAGTGGCGTCTTGGGTGTCCCTGTCTCTGCAACCTGTGGCAGGTCAAGGCTGCGCTATGTCTCTCACATCCTCGCGCAAGCTTTAGGGCATCCGAGTGTCCCCATTCTCGCACCACTCGAGGGAAAGCATCGTCGGCCCCAGGCTCCACAAGAAGGACTGCCTAGCGCAAGAATCACAGCACAGGAGACAGAGCTTCTTCAATTTCGGCGCAGGCCTGCCCCAGCCGGCAATGGCAGAAGGATAGTAGTGCGAAAAGGGGTGGTACACCGAGTACTCGGTCTCCAACTGCAAGAGGGGAGCTCAACAGCTGGGGGAAGAAATGGGGGTCAAAAGAGGCTGGGACGGGACCTGCCCGTCCGAGACGCCGCTGAGAGAGAAATCCGGCAGATCTACCGCGACGAATCTGCCCTGGAGCGTGACGAAGTAGATGGTCGAACCGAACCTGGAACCATAGAAGCGAAGGGGGGTAAAAACACGCAAGGCCAATGAGGCATCCCAGGCCCATCGAAGCCGGGCAGCGTGTCCAAATGAGCCCCCATGAAGTCGCCGACATAGGTAAGATTCAGCATCTGCACCGACGAGGTACCTGATCAGAAAAACGGCAGTGAGAAGGGCCCGCACGTCTAAAGGAACTTGAAGGCAACGATCCTTCCGAACACGACAGCCAAGAAAACAGACTTCCAGCTTCGAACCTGGTCCCCGTGACGAAAAGATCCTGGGACCTCTCCGGCCAAGAGGCTGAAGTTGGCGAGTTCGAAGCGCGCCGCCCAGCCGAAGACCCCGGGGACCAGGTATCCAAAGCCATCTCAGGAAGCATGGGTGGTGTTGGAGGAATCCAGTGAGAGCAGGGCGGCCGGCAGCATGTCGAGTGCAGACACAAAAGGAAGCCTTCAACATTCGTGTCTTAAGGATGCTGCCGATGCAACGGAAAATGACGGCTCTCACGATTGCTGCCACGGCCCATGACACCCTAAATACCTTTTGCTTTTGCCGCTTCAAGTGCTACACCTTGCAATTCGGGTGCAAGCCTCAATGCTTCTTCGACCGCTTGAGACTACCGTTCACTGCTCAGACTAACACGGCGCTCATCCCATCAACAAGCCGATGACGACCAAATGCGAGTGCTCTTTCTGATGCAAATGCTTGCAACACTGATGCGAACCTCCTACTGCTCCTACTGCTCCTACTGCGAAAACCCGCAGCCAGGAAGGACAGGCCTCGCCTCGCTCGATGCCGCTATGGAATCCTGCCAAGTTCCTGGACGCACCAGCATGCTCTGTCTCCAGCCATGGGCCGACACCACAAATCTCACAAGAGCTGTAACCAGATGCCCTGCGGCCACGGCTCTCATTGAGGGTGGCAAGGTCCAGGAGCTCCACTTCGAAAGTGTCAACATTGAAGCGCACCTTTCGCTTCCGTGCTCTTCAGGATAGCTTCGGAGCTCTGCGGGCTCGGCTCCGTTAGCCCAGGCACGACCTTGCCCATGGGGCTTCCATCCCTGGAGGAGTGCGGCACCAAGAAGCCGTAACCGTCCACAAAGAATCCGCTGGAGAACACCTCTGCTCAGCACCAACCCCCCGACAGCAGCTCAGCTCTGCCTATCATAGAAGCCCAACACCGCGTCACAGCACGACCGCTTTCGCCCTGCAACCGCCTGCAGGTAATTAGGCCAAGTCACGTGAAGATCCGGAGAAGTTTCAGTCAGGTCCACACCTGCACCGTTTCGCACTTAAAGGGCCCCCTGCTCGTTCTCCCTAAACCCAGTTCGGCAAAGAAGCTTCCGCTGAATGCCAGGTCATCCGCTCGCAGCCGTGGAATTCGACCAAAGTACGCAGGCACCTCGGAGGCGAAAGGATGACTACCACAGGGACCCAAAAACGACCGGAGCGTCTCCTCTCTCTCTCTCTCCTCTCTCTCTCTTTTCCGCAAAGGCGCCAAGAAGGCCCAAGCCTTTGCGGCGAAGCCACCAGAGAAGTTGGTCAGCTCCGAAGAGTGGTTGAGAAGATTCCTTTCAAGAGGCGAGGCACGACGAAGCTCACACCACGCGCACCTCACCATGGAGGAAAAGAGAGGGAGAGGGACAGCGGGACAGAGAGAGAGAGAGAAGAGAGAGACCCCTCCGCCCGGGCTCAAAGAAATCGTGTTCTCCGCGTCGGACACATTGAAGCCCGCCACCCAGCCTGCCCGGGGGCCAGCAACGAAGCCCTTCTGCTGTCACTGGGCTGCTGGGCTGCCGGGCCGGAGTCAGGTGGAACGAGCACCGCGAGATCTGGGACGGCGAAGAACCCGGCCCGGAACCCGCTGAAGAGCCCACCCTGCCAGGGACATGTCGGACCGAGGGACGGCTGCTGCGGACCCTGTGACCCTGGCCTGTGCGAGGTCCACGCCAGTGAAGTTGGTCTGCGGCGCTATCCCCCTTCCTGTTGAACTAAACACCCCACAGTTCACGTAGCTGGGTACAGATTGCATACGGCACCGGTCGGGGTGCAGCCCGAAATCATGCTTCCAGCCAAGCCACGAACCACCACAGCGGAGTCCTCCGGCGACGAGCATACCACACCATCGCAAGCACCCGCGATGGAAAAAGAAAAGTAGCCGACAACCACCACTGAAAACGGGTTACCCTGCCAGGCCATCTTGGTAACCCCGAATCGTCCTCGGAGAAGATGTTCGTGGACACCGCATCTGTGAACAAGCCAGAGGGCTCAGCACCCAGAAGTCTTGGGATGTCTGCCTCGAATCAGACACACGCATGACCGCCTGAGATCGCGGGAGGTCCCGGTCTCGCATCCCTCTTGAGACCCAAGCCTCAGCATCGAAGAGATAGTGCACGTAGCTTAGATTGCCCTGGCAGCAAGCACGAGCACTGAGGCATCGTGAGCAGACCGGTGATCCAGCGAAACTCTGCAGAACTTCCTAGAAACGTTCAGCCCCCGCTGCCTGGCTGCACTGGCTGCTGTTGGTTTCAACCGCGTTTGCAGAAGCTGTTGTCGTGGATGATGTGACGGTTGCCGCAACTGCGGTGTGAGTAGCTGTTGCTGTCGTCGATGTTGTCGTCGTTGGGTCCGGCCCCGTTCCTGTAGAGGTCGACCTGCCACAGTCCGAGAGCTCATGGCACCAATCTGCCCACTCTCGCAACGCAGCTGCTGGCAGTTCTGTCCAAAGCTTCGCAGGGGCGGCGTCTCGAAGAAGGTCGATGTCACTGTGGCAGATGTTGACGTGGCTGTCACGGAGGTCGACCTGCCATGTCGGACAGCTCATGCGACGAAGCTGGCACTTTGAGAAGCTGCGCAGGGGGGGGCGTCTCGAAGAAGGTCGATGTCACTGTCGCTGTCGTCCTGTCATACGAACATGAGCACGCCCTGACGCCCTGTGTCATGCGTACTGTGTGCTCATGGAAGCTTCGCCGGGCCGGCGTCTCCGCCAGCTCCTGCAGGCTCGCATAGTACATAGAACACTAGACCTAGATGCTGCAATGAGCTCTGGCTCCTGCGGGCACTTGCGGTAGAAGCTTCGATAATCGCTGCTGGATCCCAAGTAAACGTCCGGAGCAGCCAGTGCGAAGCTGTTGAAGCCTGGGACCGGGAGGCGAGCATTCTGTAAAACTTGGGCTTCGGAAACCGCCGGATAGTTGCTACGACTTTGGTTGGCCGGGAAACCGAATGCACCGGTGTTGCTCGCATCGATGACCGCGAACAGATTTTCTTGCCAATTGAACTGCACGAGTTTGGCCGAGCTATCCTTGCCAACAGGAGCAAAGACTACCGCAACTCTCCGAGGTCTTGTCGACCCTTGTCGAGCACAAGCGATTTAGCCATCGACGGTTGTCGAAAAACTTGGCTCTACACTGTCCTAGCATAACGCTCGTAATCAGCCTTGCGAGACATGCATTAAGTCTTTAAGCCCAAGCCAAAAGGAATTGGGCAGCGTCCTCGAGTAAGTGCCAGTTCGAGCTCTCAGGTCTCACGGCCACTCTGCTGACATGTTCCGGCCAGGGCACCGAGGCCAGGTATCCATAGGTCCCGTCGTGGGCGCCGTGCGCGAACCCGGAGAAACTCGCAGGCTGGGCAGATACGGGCAGGCGAAGAGCCGTAGAAAGTCTGTCCTGTGTTCGCTGAAGTCCTTCTCTTCCAGGAAAGCCATGGTGTCCAGGGCGTAGCGGATCACTTTTGGGGTCATGCTGCACAGAGCAAACCCAGAGTAGCCTGAGTGATTCTCCAGGGACCCAGTTTTTCAGTCGAGGCTGAGCACCCGGCCTCCGAAATTCTCGGAGAAGGTGGCAGAAAACGCGACGTAGTCAGACGACACGCTCGACAAGTCGAGGACTGAGTCCTCGCCCAGGGCAGGCAAAGCACCGTGACGTTACGGAACAGCCCGATTCCCGCCACACGAGGAGCTTCGCTGCAGCCGTGTGTCAACAGAAAAGGAGCTGAGACTAATTTTCACGATCTTGCCGACGTCTTGGTACGAGCCGTCTTGGTAGGAGGCCAGGAAGGCGAAGGAGGGGTCGCGTTCCTTCTTTAGCGCGCGAGAGCCATGAAGCAGATGCAGCACGTCGGCTTGGCAGATGGACAAAGTCTGAAGCCATTTTCCCCTTAAGCCTGACTTCTGTGCCGAGTGTCGACGAACCCTGGTCTCAGGTTTACCAGGTCGGGATCTGTGCTCGTCAGGGACAAAAACGTCACGCTGCCTGCAGCAGAGTTTTGGGGCACGGATCTGCTGAAGGGCTGCCTTCCCTCAGAGTTCTTTCCTGCTCCCAAGTGGCTCCAGTCATCGATACGTACGAAGTGGCCTGACTCCTGAGCTGGAGCTGGCACGTCTAAACATGTCAAAACTACATCTTCCAGCTTCCAGTCCTGAGGCACCAGATAAAGGCTGCTGCCAACGAGAAAGCCGCCGGAAAAGCCTGTCAGGCTCGAGTCGACCTGCACGGGCGAGCTTCGAGTCTGGGGGCGCAGGCTACTTCTTGGCTTCGCATTCCGCCTGAGCCAGGTCTTGCACTTCCACTGCAGAACTCGCGAAGCTGGCCTCAAGTTTCGGTGACTGGGCTTGAGCATCAACCCGTGCCCCAGGACAAAGCGAGAACACACTGCGGCAAAGCGGCCAGATCAAAGCGAACCACTTCTGAGCCGCCACTTCCGGGAATCAAGTATCCTCGAAACTTTGGCGACAACTTTCAGTGTGTGGCCTGCGTTAACATGCTGAAAGCACACACGCAGCCCCGAGATCGCTTGCAATTCTGAGGGCCTTAGGGTCTGGAGCTCCTGAAACACAGTCCGAGAGGCCGAAGGCACCGTCAGTTAGGCCGGCTGAGTAAGTGTAGGTCTGGAGGCCAACTTAGATTCAGGCTCGCATCCCCATCCGCCGGCTGTCTGCATGACACTGGAACTGAAAAACGCTCGAGGGCGAAGGTGGGAGTCGGGGGGGGTCTGAGGAAAAAGTAGCTGTTGGAGGGGAGAGCCGGTTGCTCAGTCCCATCTTCCTCGTCTGCCTCGTTTGGCCGGATACTCCCAATATGCCGTGTTGCTAGCCGTGTCAAGCCCGACAAAGTCCGCAAAGCCCAAAACTCGAGGAAACGGAGAGTGGACTTCGGGCTTCCCGTATGCACAAACGACTACCAAAGCGAGCCCCCAGACCTCCTTCATAACCACCCGGCGAATCCCCCCACACAACCCCCCCACACCCCAAACCTAGAGCAAGATAGAAAAATCCCATTTCGACTCCCCCCTAGGAGCCTCCAATTTAAGGGGGGGCTATGACCCGGTTCGAGAACGGCTTCGTATTACACTGCCTCGGTGCAATTTCGAGACGAAGTACGGACAGATTCCCTCAATGAGACTACAAGCTCAAGAAAGAAGGAGGGGGGACCAGTGCCTGCTCCGCTAGGCACGAGCAGATTATCTTTCTTCTCCCTGTTTGAACGATGCCTTGTTTTGCGGGCGAGGTTGCGACTGGAGAGGTCCAACTTCTGATAGATCTGAAATGTCGCTAAGTCGAAGCGGTGCACCTGCTACAGCGGTCCTATGTGACAGTGGGCGTGGCTAGTTCTGATGCTGCGCCACTTCATGATTTTGGGCTTCGAGCCCCACCTCCAGAAAGGACATCGGTAAAGTGTACAGGTAGAGGCCATCGCTGAAGACCTCGACAGCTGACCAGGCTCCGCGAACGGGTATGAAGAAGTTCCGAATGAAGCCGCGTAGCACCACCGATGCTGGACACGGACATCGGTAGCACATCGCTGTAGTTCCTGGGCTTCAATTGCTCCAGAAAAGAAGTCGTAGCTATGCCAAGACTGTAGCAAAGGGACTGCAATTCCTGGCCCTCCTGGCAAGGAGCTCGGTCCACTTGCACAAAGGGCCTGGGAAGGAGGGCAAAGCCACAGTGCTTCAGCGCTTCAGGGCACGCTCAGCTCGAAAAGGCAAATGCAAGGTCCTTTCTTCCAAGCCGAGGCGCTCGTCCTACCGAGACACGTGTTTCACAGCAGCAACGCACGAGCTTCAATGTCCGAACTTAGCAAGACTCTGGCTTGATCTCTGTCGGTTCCTCGCAATAGCGGATGAACTGCCGATAGTCTTGGCTGCAAGGACGTGTGAACAGAGGGAATGAGTGTAACCATTCGAGATCGCAAGGAACAAAGCACGGGAGTGCTTCACAAGGCATCTTCTGGTGGACTACTGGAGCCGGGTGGCCTGACGAAGACAGGGCGTAGAACTGGCCCTGCACCATGACCATGTCGTACAAGGTGGTCTGCAAGTCCTGCTCTGGAGCAAGGCTGGCTCTCTGCACAAACTGCGCAGAATCTGCAGAATGCCTGGGTGGCGACGGCTGAGAACAGGCCGAGGTTGAACTTGAAGATCTTGCCGCTCTCTGAGGCCTTAGCCCCCCCCTTTCACCAACAGACTTCCCGTGACGGTCAACTTCACCGGCCCGAGCTGCCACGTAGCCGCTGTGACCCCTCTGGAAGCCGGCCACGTAGCTGCTGCCTCTCAGAAGAAGCCACGAAAGACAAAAGCAGTGCAGACTCCAGACTTCAGGGGCCGAGCCTGCCGCAGATGCATCCAGGTACTGCAGGTTGTCTGTGTTGAAGTCTACGAGGGAGAATCGCGCGATTTTTCCATGCTGGCCAGGAACCAGATAACCTTGAGTGGGGTCATATGGGATCCACGTTGAGACGCACTTCGACATTGCGAGATATTGGTGCTCGTATGCCATGAGGACGGGACCGTATGTGCCGTCGTGGAAGCCGTCGTTGAACGCCTGCTCTTGGGTTGAGCTCTGCTTCGGCTGTGCTTCGGCTGTGCTTCGTCTCCAAGCACCCGGCCACAGCATCGGAATTCGATGCTGCAACGTCGAGGACTTCTACGGTGCTGAAAGTCTCCTGAGTTGGGCTTCAAGTTGTCTTTGCCAAGCTCTTCATGGGATCTTCGCTGAGTGGCAAGGTCAAAACGCACGACCTTCCCAGACGCAGAGTTTGAACTCGTCTGATAAGGCACCAGGTATCCCCAGGTGCCTCAGCCGGCGCGAAGCTTTTGACCACTGGACCAAGCTTCATTTGGACTGCCGATGACTGCCGGGCAACCGTCGGAGAACCCATTCCTGAACTTCCGCAGTTCCTGGGATCTCAGATCCGAACAGACTTCTAGCGGCGCCCCGGCTAGAAGATCTAGAAAGCTCTCACGAGTCCCAGCTGCGTTCTGTATCGCAGTGATATCTAGCACCTGGATATCTCCGAAACTGTCTCCAAGCTGGAAGCGGACAACTTGGCCATACTCTCCGGGAACCTCAGCGCGACAAACATCAGCCCATGTAGCCTGTGGAACTTACATGGTCGCGTTCGGTCGGATGCTCTTAGTCTTAGTGATCTCTCAGACAAAGCACAAGGTAGCCGTAGGTGTCGTCGTGGAAGCCACCATAGAAGCTTTGCCTGCAGTTTCATCAAGCATGAGGCTTTCAAGCCTCTGCAGGGAAGGGTTTACGGCTTCCATCATCTTCGGTTGACAAGCTCAGCAATCTCTGACTCTGTTCCACGGCAGCCACACCACCACGCATGCTGACAAGCCAAGTGTCAGGTTCGAAGACACCAACGACAGGTCGGAGCTGTCCACAAACCTGGGCCCGCCAGAAGACAAGACTTCAGGGCACAGAGAACCACGAGATGACGAAGCCAAGAAACGAGGGATGCCACTCGAGCACGTTGATACGGAGAAGCAGCTTGTTACCGGAACCAGGGACGAGGTATGTATAGTTTCCATGGGCGAAGCCTGCAGGGTCCCCAAATCGGACAAGGACAGCTCAGTCCTCAGGGAGCTCCATTGCGTGCCTCCTCTGTAGGCCTGGCTGGTGGGCAGGTCGACGTAGGACACCGTATTCTGCCGGTCCTCAGGCTGCAGCTAAAGAGTCAGCAGCGAGCCTCGAGGTCCTGGAAGATGTCCCATGAAGAAGCTCCCCTTGTCACGCTCTTGCAGCTTGTAGTCCCTCTGCAACCACCCGAACTGCAACCACCCGAACTGTAAGGGGGCTTTCTGAGGCCCTGTGCAGAGTCAGCAGCTTCGGTCAGAGACCACAGGCCCCGGGCAAGCCAAGCCAACACAGATCAAGTCCCAAGACATGCAAGCTAGATCGACTGCGTCTGCGCGCATAACAATCTTCATGGCTTGTAGCCTATAGCAGATACACTGAAACTTGCTAAAGCCAGGGGGCATAGCGAAACAGCACGGAACGTTGATGCGGCACGAGGTAGATGTATGTGTCGTCGGAAAAGCCACCTCAGAATCGTCTCAACACATCCTAGCTTCGGCATTCAGTAGCCACTGCCAACCGCTGTCAAGACCATTGCCGAGTTGCTGTTCAGCCCCGTGTAGTCATTGTTCGTAAATGCAATATTCTTTACGGAAACCTGGGCAGCAAAGCCCAACAGTGGATCACTCCAGTTTCCCTCATGTTGCCTTTCGTGGCGAACGGTCCAGAGAATCGCCGACAAGTCACGCCGCTGCAGTAATCCGGCGGCCTCGGCTGAAAGCTTCGAGTTCAGCAACTACCTTGATCCTGCGAACTCGGCGAACTGTGTCTGCAAGCGACGGAGCCACTTGCACACTGGAAGCATCACTTCATCGGCGTGATGTTAGAAACCCAGGCATCTTCCGGCCACCCTCTGGTGCAAACAAGCTTCAGATAGTCCTTCGCACAGGCAGGACTCGGAGAAAACCCTTGAGCCACCACTACTACATTCAGCGTGCAAACACGTGTCCCATGCTCCTGGCACACCCGAAAGAGCTTCTTGTAGTCGGTGTCCGTGAAAAGGAGAACATCTGAGTGGCTGGAAGTTGCTGCGTAGAACCCGTAGACCTGTGCATCAAGCGGGCAACAGAAGCAGGTCCTCCCATGTGCAAGGACCACCAGGGCCCATCTTACAGCAGTGCATTGGGACATCTACTGCGGCCGCACACTAAAGATACACGTCTCGGTAACTAGACGGTGACGGCAAGCTCATTCACCCTGAGCACTCTACATTTACGGATCTCGGAGCATTAGCCCTAATCACGACCAGCTCTAGCTCCGTTTCGCAGCACACGTTCTTAACGGCACTGCAGAACAAACGGCCGGCAAAGAAAAGTCAGCAACATCCCAACGGGATCCAACGGGTGTCCCCCGCCCGCGGTCTTCAAAAACCCAAGCGAAGTCCGAGTCCCACGCCATGGAGTCGACCTCCGGGCACAACATCTACTGGTACCATGTTCTTACCAGACATATGATATATGATGATATATGGCATGGAGATGGCTTGCTCTCAAGCTTTAGCGTGCAGGGCTTTGGGATTCAGATCCCTGGCTCCACTGTGTCAACGTGAGAACTCCCGAGCGCTTAGTGCAAGCATCACTTTTGTCCATCAAGGATCAATGAGAGGGTCACTCAGATTCGACCGGCGAAACTCCCGTAAGAGCCTGGTTGACATCCACAGTGTCCGTGACTGTTGCGCTTTGGAGATCCAGCTTCGAGATCTTGCTGGAAAACTTCTGCACCAAGTACGCCGAGCTTGTGCCCGCAAAGCCTGAAGCAGAAAAAAGCGAAGATTAAAACCTCGTTTGTAGAAAGCTGCGCGACTTCTCTTGACGTCCCCTGGCGTCCCCTCTCAGTGTCTATCTCGGTGTCACCTGCGAGGCCGTCGTAGGACGACGTCGCCACAGCCTTTCTTTCCGCATGGATCTGGAAGGTGAAGACCGATAACAGGAAGCCAAACAAATCACTCACATGATCTACCAAGGCTGGCACCACCCAAACCAAAGCCGCTGGATCATCACTGCCGAAGTCGCCGAAGGCGAAGCGAGCCAGGTGCTGGCCAGAAGAGCCTGCATCATTTTATTGGTCGGAATCCGTCTTCACGCACCATCTTCCAACCCATGAGGATTCAAAAGCTCTTGCAAAGTGAACATCTCGACAAGCGCATGTCGAGACCGTGCCTGGCAGCATGTACACGTAGGTGCCGTCGGTGAACCCATCGCTGAAGCCCTGGCCGAAACCTGCAGCAGCGACTACGGTGAGAGAGCGAGAGAGGGCGGCTCAAGCACGCTTTCAGCCTCCGCAGTAAGTGTTGCCATCTCCTGCGTCTGCCCAGCCTTGGCTCGGTTTTTGAGCAAAGTCCGAGCATTGCATACTGAGGCACAGGGCTTATGACGAAATTCGACGCTTCAGGGCCCAAGCTAAACGAAGGTCATAACTCCCGAAAGCCCGACCCTGCGCCTGAGATGTCCCACACTGTCAGGGAAGAAGGGAAGCTTGACTCGAGGTTAAGCTTCGCCACCTGCAGAATGCGAAACGTACGTACTACAGTGCAAGCCAATCAATGAAGAGCACAATGTTGACAGAGTTAACACAACTGCAATCTGACCCCTCCCACAGAGCCTTGCACACGCCCAGGCTGGTTTCCAAGTTCTCGTGCAGCACCAGGTATGCGTCCGCACCTGCGCTAGAGGCGTCTCGAGGCCAGCTTCTTCGATATGAGAGCTTGAGCGTGGCACTCCACACTCCGACTGCGGATTGGAGCACATCTCATCTGATGCAGTACCTACAAATGAACGCTTAGCCAAGTGGCCTTGCAAGACTGCTCCTCTAAAGGACCTGAGACGAGTAGACCCTGCTGTCTCAAACAGATGCAGATGTCTGCACGTGCGTGCACAGTGAGCCCAAGCGTCTGCAACTCCGCATCCACACTAGTAAGGTCGAAGAAGTCCGCCGTGGTAAAGTTCGCAAAGCTGAATCTTGGAAGCACACCTGCACGGACCGAAGCGACTTCCCAGCTCGCGGGATTTTTCGAAAAGGCTCTGGAGAGCAACAAACACGTTTCGGGTGCTTGTCTCTGCTCTTGTTTTGCTACCGCTTATCTGGTGCATCATGGGCGCCCTTTCCGTTGGGAAGGAGGTAGCCGTGCTCTCCGTAAATGAAGCCACCTAGGCTCCAAACACCCGCTTCTGGTCAGGTATCCATGACATCGCTCGGGGCCGAGCCCCACCAATTGACTACGTTGGCCGCGTCGCCATCCTCGGAGAGAACAGACCATAGCCATTCACAGTGCCGAACTGAACACAGGCCGCGTCGAGAAACCCAGGAGTCCGCCAGGTTCAGAGAATCGACGAAAGTAAAGGTCTCCAGCTGAAAGCGCAGGACGATCTGAGTGCAGTGACACACGGCTACAGTCTGCACTTGCGGCCCGGCAATCAGTCCACACTGGGGCCGAGCTGCCGCATGGTCCGTGGAAGGCAGCAAATAGCCGTAGTTGCCATCCACGAAACCTAGGTCCCAGCGAGCTCACGACCATCATGGAACCGGGATGTCGCTTCAAGAACGAAGTTTTCGAGAAACAAGCTGTGCAGGACCCTTGCAGGAAAGACACCTCCGAAGTAGCCGTTGTTCTGGACACCCTGCGGCGCGTACAACACATCACGGGGAAACCTCTTACGGCGAACATCGCAGGGCAGCCTGGGGTATCGTCATCTTTTGGCTTGGAAGCAGGCCCGCGCTGTCAAGAAGAAGCTCGGAGCGGAAGAGCCCGAGCCTGAACAGAGGCAGCGTGAACGGACTTAGCAAGACATCCCAATCATATCACTTTGCATCATAGCTGCGTGTCGCGGAAGAAATAAACGTACTTGTCGTCCGTGAAAGCACTTGTGAAGAGTGAGAAATCGAACTCTGCTGGCTCTTCCATCGTGTAGCCGGACACCTCTCACGGAGGTGTACGACATCTCTCGCACAGGTGCGAGTGCAGGCAAAGGTCGCCTCCTGCTGGCACGCAGCTCGGAGGGTGTGCTGCCGGTGCCTCGGCTACTCAACGATCCAGGCCGAGACCAGCTTCTGGTACAACAGCACCATGCTTGAAAGACTGTGCTTCTCAATCCCAAATCCGAGTCACTTCCAGTCCTGCCAGAACATCTAAGACTGCACTGAGAACCTAATCGTAGGCTTGCATGTCAGTGTTGCGGGAAGGACACTCAAACACATGGTCAGATGGCAGGTGTGGAGGGGCCTGGACTTAGCTTCACGCACTCTGAACCGTCCGGTCCTGGCAAATCCTGTCGAAGGTCGCAGTTCCTGCAGAAGTTCCCGTGCGTCGAATGATGATCCTGCCACCGGCCATCACAGCGGGGCGAGGAGCATCAGAGCCGCCGTTTACATCGAAGACATCGTCAGCGCTGAAGGTGGCCAGGTCTACGTGAACCTCGGTGCATAACTTGCCATCATGCCCTGTTGACCATGGCTCTGGGAAAGCACCGGGGAACGCGCGACAGCCCAGAAAGACGGCTGAGGCTGCGGCGACTTTGCCGTCTTTCGCCAAGACGTAAGCATAGTCACCCACCTCCACCGTCAAGACTTGAAGTAAACACGATTCGGCAGCGATAGATTGAAAGATTGAAGCAAAGACTCGCCCACCTTCAAAGCTCCACTAATCTCATTGCCGGAGAGCTCTCCAGATCTTGGCAACAAGAACAAAGCTTCGGCTGATGAAACCACCATGCCTTGTAACTTACATCGACCGTACTGATGGGGCAGGCGGCAAGGACAAAGCTTCATCATCACCGAAGATGTCCAACCTGGCATTGACACGGCGGCAAAGCTCCAAACATGCGAACTGCCTGCGGCCAAGCTAGAATGGCAATGCTGCACATGCACTATGACCTCTGTGTGAGCTGTTCTTTCTGCTACTTCTCCGCCGATACCGATGACGTCTGTTTGAGAAGATGCGATGCACCCCCAAAAGATGATATCCCATGTCTCCCCTTACCCAAACGGTGGGCCTGAAACGAATCGTTAAATCAAAAGCTGATGCACCAGTCATCCGAACCTTCAAATCCTGTAAAAAAAGGACGGCATACCTGAATCGAACGAGTTCCTCACCTTGGGGTTTGCAGAATCAAATGAACTGCGCTCACGTAACAAGTCATTCGACCGCACCACGGAAACACTCAAACCGCACAGAGCAGATGATTTCGTCTAAAACTGAGCACACCACTGGTTTCGCCAACCAGGTAGCCATATCTTCCATCCTGCGATGTACATGCCAGGAGTGCTGAGGGACGTGGTTTCCTCATCGACGCAAAGGACACCCGTTTCGAGGCCGAAACAGCACCATGCCACAGTCCTGAAACCCAGCAATGAAGCCGCCAGATGTCGACAGCTGGAGAATTTCCTCACAGATCAAGGCATGGCAGCAGTTTCAACTTGCATCAAAGTGCTTCTTAACATTCTTATCCAAGGCTTCTAGCAAGAAAGCCTCAGATTGTCTCGTTGACCATCACCAACGTAAGTTCAACAAGGTCGCCACATCTTGCGTAGAGAAGGTGGCCAGCTTGAAGCGGACCACCTTGCTGCTCGGGGAATTGGCGTTGTCCTGCATGAAATGCGACGAACACAGACTTCGTAAACGCGTGCAGCCACCATCGACAACGTGTCTTGACAAGACAACTGAGCCAAAGAGCAATAAACAGGACCTGGCCCTTGAAACAACGTCCGGTGAGCACTGCTCCACACTCTTGCGCGCAAGCCAGCAAAAACTGCACCCATCGTCCTGCAACGGCACCAAGTAACCTGACTTGAGCTTCCGGACAATCAGTAAAGTGGCTGGATTGGCACGCATAAGGTTTAGAGGGTTCCGCCCACCCGGGTTTACGAGCCACTGAATGTGATGTGAGGGTGATACTCTGCCTTAGACAGCCATCAAATCCTGGTATTCTCTCTTTCTGCAGCACGAGAAGCCCCACTCTCCATTGCGGAATCCACCAGAAAAGTCCCTGAGGCTCGAATCCTTGCCATGTCAGCCAATCTCTAAGACAGAGATCGTTCCTAAAGAGATCTGCTCGGGCTGATCTGCAAGATCAACAAGCATCAAGGGTCGACAGACTTCAGGTCCAGCTCACTGACGGTTGAAAACCCTTCGATGTCCACCCTGTTGATCACACCATGGGCGAAGGTTCCTGGCATCACGTACCTGAGAGAAGGCTTCTTCCCCGAGTCACACGCTTCTACACAGAAGCTCAACGGTGACAGCACAACCTAAGCGAAGCCTCAAGGTCCGCCTTGAGCAGCACGTTTGAAAGCGCAACCGAATGATGGCACGACCAAACCCCAACTGCCACAGAACGGATCACAAAAAGGCTGTAGGGAGGATCCTTTTCAACAGGACAGATTCCTCCACTTCGGCCCTCGAAGCTGTAACGCAAACAAGCCGCGCAAACTCGCCGGAGACAAAACCACCCATGAAGCTCCTGCCGTGAGAGGAGGTGTCACAGAGGTTGCTGCACAGACTTTCAGAGCAGCAGTGAACCGCTTGGTCAAACAAGCATATCGGCTTTTTGCAACCCGCTCGTTTGCGCCAAGGTCGCAGTCTCCGTCGCATCGAACGTGCTGGTTGCGACACGCTTGAAGGCATAACCGGAACCTCAGCACAAAATTTCCGAGCTTCGGACCACGCTACCGACAAAAACAAACAAAAACACTTCCGCTCCAGGGCACTGTCCGGTACCAAGTACACATATGCCCCATCTCGATCTGCAAACCCGGAGGAGAAGCTTGAGCCAACGCTCAATTCCTGAACCTGGCCCGGCAAGATCAGTTTCTAATCTTCATGTACAGTTCAGGGAAGTGCTCCACAAAGCCTGAGTCATGGTGGCAACATCGGCACGGAACAGGGTCGTGCTGCCAGCATCAGGCACCTTACAAAAGTCATGCTGGTAAGAATCTCCAACCAAAAGTCTGAACCCACGGTTTTGCTGTGTGGCTTGCTGAACTCCGACCATGCTTTAAAGTTTAAAGCATCCGGAGAATCAGACGAGGTGCAAAATAGACGAAATCTGCAGCCAGGACCAGGTTCCTCGTAACGACTCCCCAATGCTCTGCGTTGTACGCATCCCAGCACCGGCCGAGACTCTTTGGGTCCCCGAAGTTGGTTGGCCACGAGGCTGGGCTGATGGAGTCAACCTGGTTAAGGCATCTCAAGTTCAGATGAGGCCGAAGCCTAGGCCCAGATCCGCACTGAAAGCTTGAGTGCTTCTCGACCCCCGCACGTTTCATGCCCGAGCTGCAGAGTTCTGCGTGCACACGCCGGGGCCTTCGGAATAGCTTAAGTCATTGCGATCGCAAAGGAAAGGATTGAGATTGCCACTGCGCGTTCTATCGACTGGACATATCTGCCGCCTTTCACCCCAAAGCGGTGCATCTGCGGGAACTTCGTCTCGTACGCATCGCCATCCTCCAGACCCAGGACTGTACACGACAAGGCTCTCTACCGGTGCGCAAAGCAAGCAGGCGCAGGCAAGGATCTTCTACGGAGAAGATGACGGCCCAGTCTTCCTCTCTCACCTCCTTGGCTGCACCAGACTGCACTCTTGCAAAGGCGAAGGACTCAGTGATTATGGACCATGGCTTCACGAGAACGGTCAAGGCAAGTGTCATAGCTGATCTGCGAAGCATCAGCTTGTGTTCCTCAAGAGTCGGAGAAAGCTGGGAATCCATTTCCGCATTACCACCGGTGGGATCCCGTATGAGCCAGTCCCAAATCCAATTCAACTCCTTCATTCGTCACGTGTATAAGCAGTGCCAGGCATCCGGGATGGACGGAGAGCGCCCTGCAAGAGTTCCACACAGCTTCTATTTCTGTTTGTGCTATCTCCCCGCTCCCCACCCACTAATCCCAAGACGAAAAGCCAAGAACCAAGGTCCAGCACTGCAAGCTGGTGATGGGGTGTGTGGCATGCTGCTTGTGAGTCGGTACGAAGCCTCTTGCGGCCCTGGCACAGGATGTCTCCTCTCCGCACCGACGGGAGAAGATGCACGGCAGCGCTCCCAGATTCCAGCGCTCCCTCGCCAACATAGCCGCCTGACGGTCAGCAAACTGAGGCAGTGCAGCAAACAGAAAGAAGGAAGTCTCTCTCCCACTGAGTAACCGTGTAACCTCTGCAAGCCTCTCGACCTGCAGCCCACACTCTATTTGTTGAGCACATGAATGTCAAGCCACGACCCATAGCACAGTGCGGCTTGAAACACGACACGGTAAAGCAGTGCGCACACCGCCGCCTGGCGCATAAAAGACCCTGCCGGTAGGGAACTGCGATTCGGCGGCGTCCGTGCTTCTGAACTCCAAGATGGGAGCATCGATCGGATCGCTCTCTGTCGGCTTGCAACTCTTGCACTTTACAGCCTCGGCCGATCATACTCCAGGTGTCTAGCAGACAACAATAGCCGCAAGCTCTGTGCTTACATTTTCACACACCGAAGCTGTCGGATGCTCCTGGAGGACATGCTATTGCTTCAAGATGCCCAGCCGACATCAGTAGTCTCACTACCTGAGTCCATAAAGCAACGGAATGGCATGGAGAATCTCAAGCACGACTTCGAACCCATCTTCGGACTTGCATCCTACACAACGGCCAAAAACACATTGATGCGAGTCCAAATCTTGAGAAAGACATACGGTGAAGGACATCATCACAACACAAGCCGCATTTCCTAAGCTCCAACTCCCAAGTCTGCCTGGGATCTCCAGAAGCCTTCAAGCAAGAGGCCTTGAGTGACCGTGAGCTTCCTTGAAACAGGGCTGTGATCAGTCCGTCGCTTCAATGCTTCATCTGCAGGCTGGGCTCATGCATCACACCCCTGGCTCAGGCTGCTACGTTTTGGCCTAATAAACTAAAATTTACCAGAATCTACTATTTTCGACCATGAGATGATGCCAGGTCTCAGCGCAGTTCCGGACAAAACAAGGCCCATGGAGACCTCAGAGCCACCAACATGCGTGCAAGCCAGCAGACCGCGGCGTCTGCTGGCACAGCACGGAGATGCACAAGCAGCAGCGGCAAAAGTGGAGGCTCGGCACCTCCTCCGGTCCACCGCCGCTGACTAGACCTCCAGTTATCAGCGAGGTACCTCACCGGCGCTGCCCGTTCTGACCCCATGCTCCCACCATGTTTGGGAGGTTCAGGATTCGGGAAGATGCGATACCAAACAAAACACTCTCGTGCACCGCAGATGTTCTGCTGCTGCCAGCGCTGCCGGCCATGTCTACTCCTTCCCCAAAGCTGTCAAGGCTCCTTCCATGTCCGTGATCTCGAAAGAGCCGCCCCACCATCCTGGACCATTCCAGGGTGGCATGACCAAGAACGCACAAACACCTTCTTGGGATTGTGAGAAGGATCATGCAGCCTCATGCATTCATGATGACCGTACCGTGCCGCTCATGCTCTAGTGACTCACTCCTCACACTTGATCCTGTCAGCATCACAACTCGGAAATTGCACCCAACTTCTTCTATCTGGCCAAGACTCCGTTGACAGCGTCACCGGTCATCACAACGACTATCTCCGTGGAAACGTCGCTGTCTCAAAGAAGCATGCGAGTTCAGAATATTTCAGAATCACATGCGTCGATGTTGGGGAGGGACAGTCTCATACAATTTTGAGCTTGGGGCGGTCACACATGCACGCAGACACGCAATGTACGGACAAGCACGTGCATGTATGTAGGTTGAGCTTCCACTGGGAATGCTTGCAGCAAAAGAAACAGGTCATGAAACATGCACCACCTCACAATGCCCAGCTGGTTGAAAGCCGAATGCAGCCAAGGCTCCTTGAGTAACATTCCAAACCTCGTAGGTTCCAGCGCCCCAGCCATTCGCGCTTGTATCGAACAATGCGAGCTGGAGGGACCTGAGCGTTGGATGCAATATGACCAGCGGACGATGAAGCATAAGTTGCGGCGTGCGGTGTTCGTGCAACACAATCCCGAGGAGGCTCGCACGAAACCAGGGCCAATAATTTTTTTCAGGCCGAGTGTCGTCGTAGCGCGCTCAGCGACCTCAGCGATGCTATCATGCACATCGCAACATATAATGCGCACGGCGTATGAAACCTCCTAATTCTTTTTTGGCTTCAACCTGCAACTGTTGCGGTGCCAAAGAGCTGCTGCTTGAAAACAAACTGCGCAAAACCACCTTAGATGCAACAGGCACAAACACCGCCAAGACAGCACTGATGGTTGCTTCGACTTGCCACTTGCCACTCCCTGACTCGGGGCCAGCAATGTGTTTGCAAGATTGCAAATTACCTGCTTTGAACTTTGAATCATCCTGTCTCAAACTGGCAGATCTCGTTGTGCAGACTGTGCACGTGACGAAGATGTAGCCGATGCAGCCGCAACGGGTCATTGGCACAAATGAGCGGCCGTACAATTCCACTGCTTGGTTGCACCATCATGTCGTTCATGGTCGTTTTTGCTGCAATGTTTAAGAAATTTGCCAAAGCATTTGATATATATATATATATATATGTGTGTGTGTGTATATATATATATACATACATAAACTTGTATATATATATATATATACATACATACACATGCAAATGAAAAACGAAACTTTATATGATGATCTGTAGCTACATATTTTGGGTATGCTTTTCATAGAACGATCACGAAGTGGCTTTTTGCACAAAACTAACATGCTCCATGACGCACCACTGGACCGCATGATACCTTACACGAAGCATAATGCTTGAACCATGCAACACGACAACATGTGTGCAGAGACATCGCTTAACACATGTCACATTGGCATTCCTTCCCGCAATGCCTATTTGTTGCCGGTCGTGTCAATGCACATGCTGCACCTTCTGTGCGCATCCTGTTGTCCCACGCATTGCAAACGCCAGGTGTGACAAAGTGCCTCAAAACACAAAATAACGTCTTCTTTTACGCGTGCTGTTTTCTCCGATGCATCGGACTTTTCTCCGATGCATCGGACTATGGTGGATGGCCTACGCGTTTCAAAACGTGGAAAGGCATTGGAAAGCTTGACAGACATGATCATCCGGTGTTTACCAGTTGTTGGAACATCTTTCTCCGGGCCTAAACCGAAAATCCCCCGGACCACAAAGGTGCACGAAGTTTTTTGATTTCCAATCATACCGAAGGGATTCTGAAGCGGATCTGAAGCGGAGATCAAGCCTGGTTTACTTTAGGTTCGTGGCGATCCGGATGGAACCTGCGAGCCGCAGCTTTTAAGCAGCTCGTCGTAGCTTGCCTACTCGTCAGCTTGCCGGTCGACGTACTCCAAAGTCCTGAAGTCTATCCAACTTAGACCTGTAGCTATCAGCAATCTTGCCTTCTTGTGGCCTGAAACTGCGGTTGCAACGCACAGGCCCTGGTTTCGAAGTTTTCATATTGTGTGCAGGTGCGTGTTTGCATCCTCAGATTCCGTGTTCTGGCTTCTGTCTTTTCTGACTCTAATCGCGCTTTCGTTTTGTCTTCTATATTCCACAAAAAGAAAGAATTCGATGCCCAAAACAATTTCTGTCTTTGGCGTTCATATTCGGACTTTTTGAAGTAACGGTTGGAAGTTTAGGAATAGCTTGCCAATTTGCAAATGACTGAAGATGTGGATCGGCAAAACTGTGGCAAATGCAGCGCCGTTTAGAAGATTAAAAAACATTGCCGCGGATAAAGGACCTCCACAGTATTTCTGGCTTTTCTCAACTTTTCGGCTCCAGTGCATGCAAGACATCCTGGTGTGTCACCAGGATGCTTCCAAGCCAAACTCGGGTGGCAAATCAGTGCAGAGTACGTCTTGAAAAACAGTGCGCATGGTGGCAGGAAGCGTGTTCATCTTTGTGAAAATGTGGCATCTGGAGCAACTATTTCATGTGGTGTCCAGCTTCTCCAGTTGAAGTTTTTTAAGCAACAGATTGAAACCCTAGGTGGGTTAGAGTCCAACCCAAGTTGCAACCTGCCGGAGTTGATCCAAGATTCAAATCGAATTCTCTCTCTAGGGAGGGTGTTGTCAGCTCCCACTCTGTGACAGCTACAGGCCCATGTTCGAGACATAGCTCAGAATTCCGTACTTTTGAGCACTGACGATTCACAGGCCTACGGCCCGCTGCTCGCACGATCGTAGGGGCTCTAAACTC